AAAAACTTACCTTTCAAAATAGCCTTAAAAATACCAGAACCTTAGGAAAGTTATTTTCTAAGACAAAAACTCCATTGACCCCTCTAGAACAAACTAATGTCGTTTATCATGTACCCTGTGCAGTCCTGCTACATTGGCCAGACCAGCCGCTCTCTTCAAGGTCGACTAACGTCCCACAAAAGCGACATTAGGATTTCCAAACCATCTTGTGCCCTTACACAACATGCCATTTCAACCAAACACAGTATGGACTTCGCGAATACCAAAATACTGTGCAAACAAAAAAATTATCATAAGCGATCCATCCTTGAAATGTGTCAAATTCTAAAACATCCATCGTCCCTAAATAAGAGAACCGACATTGATAACTTGAGCCAGATATATCACTCTCTCATCATACAAAACAAATAAGTAAAACCCTTAAAACACACTAACTTCATTCCCATTCTTCTTTCCATTTTTTTTGTTTGTTTGTTCTTTAAATAAAAAGAAAAAATGAATCCTTTTTTAAAGAAGGTCTGTCCTCGTTCCGCTCGCTAATGGCATCAATATTCGTTCCTCCTTCCTGCATTCCAAAGAAACACATGTACTACAATAAGCCACATGTGAAAATTATGACATCCTAGAGCTGATAGAAAACAATCGAAAAGATTAGTGCGGTTGGACCCTCGAAAGAGCTTAAACCAACATTTAAATGAAGCCATCGGTTAAAATTAAGTGAACAATAGTGTTCTTACAGTTTTTATATATATAGCGAGTGTTTGCAACTTTAATTTTGTCGCTTCTCGCATCCCAATCGCCATAATTTCTTATCGGCCCAGTCTCCTTCTTGAAGACCTCTATTTTCCATTTCTATATGAATATTGGATATCCATTTCTTTCTTAGCCTTCCCCGTTTATTTCTCTGTGTAGGTCTCCAGTTCCAAACCTTTCGTGGTATCCTTTCTTCGTTCATCCGTCTCAGGTGTCCATACCATTTTAATTGTTTTTCGGCTATCGTATCCATTATTGTGTTCTTTACTTTACTTTACTTTCATTCTCTCTCTTATGTTTTCATTTCTTATGTGGTCAAACAAAGTTAACCCGGAACATCTTCTCCAGTACATCATTTCCGTTGAGAGGAGTTTTTGTGACATATTATTGTTAAAGACCCACACTTCTGACCCATACGTAAGCACCGGCTGAATCATAGCGTGATATATATTTTTCTTTGTTTTCTTAGTTAAAGTTTTTATTCCACAGGATCGGATGTAGTGTTTTTATCATGTTTTTTCCTTTTCCTATTTTTCTTGTTATATCTTTGTCGTCTCTCCCGTCTTCGCTTAGTGTAACTCCGAGATATTCGTACTGATCAACGTTTTTAATTAATCCTCTTTCTGTTTCCATGTCTTGACCGATGCCTCCTATATTCATGTATTGTGTCTTTTCGGTATTAATCTCTAATCCCCATTTTTTGAATTCGTCTATTAGTTTGTTTATCATGTACGTCATATCTTGTAGGTCCTCGGCAAGAACTACCTGGTCGTCTGCGAAGAGGATTGTGTATATAGGAGTGTCATTTACCCATATGCCCATTGGGCTGCATTTTCTCATCCAATGTTTTAAAGCATTACCAAGATATATTTAGATAGGGTTGGGGAGAGGCAAGAGCCCTGTTTGACACCCTTTGTTTAGGTGAAACCCTTGGAAATTTGGTTTCCAACCTTAATATAAGCTTGGTTATCTTGATATAGCTTTTTCACGGCATTTATATATACTGCATTTATACCAGCGTTTTCCAATGTTGTCCATAGTCTCTGCAGTGGTACGGAGTCAAACGCTTTACGGAGATCTATAAAAGTGGCATGAAGTTCTAGTCCTCTTGCTAATCTCTTTTCCGTTAGGTGTTTGAGAGTAAATACATTGTCGACACAAGATCTCCCTGGTCGGACTCCACTTTGTTCTTCGATCTCTGTGGCTTCTTTTTCTATTCTCGCTTTCAGAACTCTTTCATACAGTTTGCCAGTGGATGACATAATGCTGATACCTCGGTAATTACTGCAGTCATTCCTGTTTCCCTTTTTGTAGATGGAGTTTATGTACGAGACTTTCCAATCTCTTGGAATACTTTCTCCTTGTAGGCACTTGTTAAAGTCTTACAGTTTTTCTTGTATTTTTTTTGTTTCATTTCCCTCGTTTAATTGCTCATCTTTAATGTTAAGTTATCGTAGAGTTTTTATAACATCTAAAAAAACCTACAAATTGTTTTTGTAAGTATGAACCCTGTTGGTTGTTTACTTATATTCTAAAATCTTTTTTATTTGTAGTGAACTGATGATGCTTTTAAAAATAAAAGCGAAACGTATTCGAATAAATCAATAAAGTAGTTGACGAATTATATTTGCCAATTATTGACCGATAAAACCTTTGCTATTCAACCATTTAATATTTTTTAAATATATATATATATATATATATATATATATTATATATATATATATATATATATATATATATATATATATATATACAGTGTAGGTAAAATTTTAAGGTCGGTATGGTAAAATTTAACAGGATATCTAACGCAGATATAAAATCATATTTTCAACGAATTAGACAAAGATAACAATCATATTTCCCCTTCGTCTCCCCTCCTATAATTTCTATTTAACACTCATTGGCCATTGCCCATTAGTGAGACGATTAGTTCCGATCAGATATTCTCTGGTTCCGATCCTAATATACCTAAAAAACTAGAGGTGGGTCTTCTCGTTTTTTTAATTTTTATCGGAACCGTTTTTCGTAAACTGTAACTAGTTGATTGTTTACCAGTATTCAAATTAGCGAGTACACAAACATATTAGCTATTATCGTTTATGTGTATAAGTATTGAAATAAAAGAACCTAACGAAGGAAATATTTATTGTAACTTGAAAAATAAATTAAATAATACAAATGGTACTTAAATAGTTACATTTACATTACACATTATTAAATCGCGAATCGTCTAAATTGACATTTAAAAACATAAGTTTTTCCACTTTTCTTGTTAATCGCGTTCTTCTTTTATTTAAAATTATACCAGATGTTAAACATGTGTTCACAAGGAAAAGATTTTGTTACAATACTACAACATTTTATGAATATAGTGGTTAAGTTACGATATACATGGCGATGGTTTTTTCACCACGGTAATGGACAGTTCCAATCTCCGTTCGAAATTGTTTGTGGGTAATATATCATCAGACAATTACATGTCGACTTCTTTTATACCTCTCGATACAGGTGTATGTTTAGATGAGTCATGTCCAATTAATTCATCAAAAATACACCATGGACTTAAGTCATCTTTATCAGTTTCTTTTTCTTGGACTGATTGATTTTCAAGATTTACTAAACTTTTCGTTTCATCCGTTTTCCATAGTTAAAGAACCAGCTTTTAAAAAGTTTGCAGGGTGGATTCCTGGATATAAACCGCCAACAAGAAAAACTTTGTCAGGTTCATTACTTCAGGAATGTTATGTCAAAAGTGAGCAAATTATTAGATCGCAAGTTGTTAAAGAAGTAGAAAATATCTATGTATTACTACTGACCTCTGGACATCTGGAGTAACTGAGAGTTACTTCGCATTAACAGGACAATATTTAACCGAAAATTTAGTATTCAAAACTTTTTTATTAGGCTGCTGCCATTTTTCTGGAAACCATAATCCAGAAAACAGCGATTACTGAAATTATTAATCAGTCGGGTCTAAAACGAAAAGTAAATTTTGCAGTAACTGATAATTCCTAAAATATGGTCAAAGCTATTAAATATGTTTTGTTTTATGATGATTGTGATTTATGATGATGATTAAATTTATTGGTGGAGGACGCACTTAAATGCTGTCGTGTACAATAGATAAAATAAAAGTCCTTTTTCGACAATTCTGCAAAAAAACACATTTCAAAAAAGTACCTTATCTTCAGAAAGGCTTTTAAAGTATTAATTACAACAGAACACAGTTCCCAAACGGCCAAACTTCACCTATTACATGTTAAAAAGAATGACCGAGTTAGAAGAGGCAACCCGTTCCACATTGGTATTAAATAATACAGACTTAGACTTAAACCTAATCTAAATAAAGAACACTGGATTATTTGTTCTCAACTTTCCCAAATTTTACGGCCGTTTAAAGAAATAACATTTTAACAGAAATTTTGCTCCTACGCTCTTAATGATAAACTAGCACGACCCACCTCTACTTCTCGTTACTCGATCTTTTGACCAGATGACTATCTAGACTAGACGTTGCCAAATAAATTAGTGTATGAATATTTTTTAATTTGGCGTTATTGTATGCATGTTTAATTGTTTATTATTCCATATTGGGAAATTATTTTGATGTTTAGATTTTTAGTTCGGAAATCGTACTTAAAATACGAAACATTAATAAATTTTATTTATATAAAACGATTTCCGAAATGGAAATCAAAATGTTATATTACAATTATTGTAAAGAAAACTTGTGGCATATTCCCAATAAAAAAAACAGTAACCTGCCATTTAAATCAATTTCGGCCAAATTTGATTATCTTGAGCATTTTATCTTCTTGATAGAACATTGTTCAAATGCAAAAAAAGACAACAGGTCAAATAAAACCAATAAGTTTGGCAACGTTGAATTTCCCCTTTTTTAATATTTCCATTCGGCGATATAAAGGGCGTACCTAATATACCTCTCTCTTTTTAAACAGCTGTTTCTCACTCCATCTCACGTAAGGTCCATACCGACCATAAAATTTTTCCTACACTGTATATATATATATTACCACAAAGTGTATCACAGAAACCCAGAAAGTGTCATTTAAAATTTAATGACACACCAATAAATCTATGATAGCTAATGACCATAAAGCGTGATGTAGCTCTTCGGGAAATTTACTTACTCTTCTTACTAAAATATCACATTAATAGATAGATTCTGAAGATTAAAAGGGTGAGTATAACAATGCTAAAATATACGAATCACACTCGCTTACCTGGCATACAAAATCCAGTTAACTCTAGCTGACTCGCCAACTCCACCAACTCCCTCCTCTTCGTCTTGCTATAAATGTGATGTGAATAAATCCAGTGTCTCACAAATTTCTCATCCCTCACATCTTTCTTTTGAGGCTGCTCCTGTTCCACTTGAATATACTCTTCAGCGTTGTCCTTTATCCAAGAGATCGCAGAAAATATACAAGGTTCTCCTTTTTCTTGACAAGCCATGAAGTTGCACAAGTCTTTGTTAATTTTAACATGTTGGTGCCGGTCGAATTTGTGATTTCTCACAAATAATTCGGGTTCTACGTTGGGGTATTCATGAGGAAGGGTGATACAAAGCTCAAACTTTGCGTTATCTTGAATGATATTCACAGTAAGGTCGAGATATGGTGGCGAAATGGTTGTTTTGTCATTCACGTAGTCTTTAATGTCGGATAAAGTACAGATATCTTCGACTTTAAGTTCTCCGGGGTTATACAGGAGAGATTCTAAGATTTCTAGCTCCGACAGTTGTATCTCTAGGTTGGATTTTAGTTGGTCTGATGATATCTTCGTCATTTCTGCAAAAAATAAATATTTTATCAACACAATACCAATTTTATGAACTTCAATAGGAAATTATAAAAAAACATATTATATACAGCCTTCAAAAAATCATAATATAACTACTTGTTTACACGGATTAATGGTTTAATCACCACGTTGAACGAAATGATAGATATAGATTGATTATTGACTAATGGATTGATATATCTGGTCTTGTTTAACGTCTTTTTTAAGACCACGCAAGAACCACTAATCGTCATGTACCACCTAAAACTGTCATTCCACAATAGCAGAAAGATAAAAAACCCTTCAAAAACTCTAGTTAATATTGGACTAAATTTATACCAGGCGGTCCATATGTATGGAATAAATTCATTTTTAGCATTATTATGTACCTACTATGTGAAAAAAATCTGAAACATGTTGATTTTTTTTCTTAAATTGTCAATTTACAGTATGAAAATATTAGACACCTATAACCTTTTGAATTATAAGCACCCCCTCGAAAATTTTAAATAACAAAGGGGGTCTCGTATGGCACCTTGTTAGAAAGGGATTTTAGTCCTCTGTTCAGCAATATACAGTTTTTTAAGTTTGGTGCAATCATAACTGAGAAAATTGATTATTAAGATGTAAAATTTTGATAATGTCTCTATCACAAAACTTTAGGTTGAATGAAGCTAATTATGTCACATAATATTTAGAATGTATTTTTCAATGTACTTTACAATTAAATTGAATGTTTAAAATGACCACCATTCACTTCATGACAATAACCTAGGCGATTTTGGAATTCTCGTACAACATTTTGTATGACCTCGAGAGCAAATATCAATAGTCAGTGTAATCCAAAAAAAGAAATACTATCAAGAATCGAACACGCAAGGAAAGCATTCATGAGCATAAACATTTTTCACAAGATCAGACCTTAGTCTGCAGTTTTTTCTGTCTTACTGTATGGTTGTGAAAGTTGGACAATGGACTCTGAAATAGAAAAAAGAATAGCTGCCTTTGTGATGTATATACAGAGACGAATGTTGAGAATTCCATGGGTACAAACAGTTACTAATGTTGAGGTACTTCGTCGAATGTGCAAACAAAAAGAATTACTAAGAATAATCAAAGAGAGGAAAATGTAATACTTGGGTCTTGTGTTGAGAGGCGAAAAATATGAATTACTTCAAGTTACACTGGAAGGAAAATATCCTTATTTACCAAAACGCAACCATGACCGTAATTCTGGACGACAAATTAATAACGGATAATATAAAAGTTAAACGAGGACTCCGACAAGGCGATATAATTTCACCTAAACTGTTTACCTTGACCCTCGAAGACATAATAAAATTAACAGATTGGGAAAACAGAGGAATATGTAGTAACGGAAAATACCTAAATCACCTTAGATATGCGGATGATATACTCCTGATCTCCTCGGAACGACAAGAACTAGAATTAATGCTGAATAAACTTCATGAAAAATCACTGCAAAAAGGCCTAAAAATTAACTTCAACAAAACAAAAGTAATGACAAACACGGAAGACCAAGAGGCAATAAAATAAAAACAGAAAAAATAGAACAGGTAAATGAGGATATCTACCTAGGACAAGCAATCAGAGCTAACAGAGAAAATCAAGCAGCCGAAATATCGAGACGAGTAAGAATGGGATGGACAGCGTTCGGCAAACTTTCTTACGTTCTAAAAATCAAACAATCCCTCTATACTTACGAAGCAAGGTATATAACTTCTGTATAATACCGGTGCTGACCTACGGAGTACAGACATGGACATTTACACAGGCCAATTTGGATAGGATAAGGAAGGCACAAAGAGCGATGGAGAGACAAATGTTGGGTGTATCACTTAGAGATAGAAAACGTAACCAGTGGATCAGAACCAAAACAAAGACAGAAGACGCGATAGAACACGGTTCGACCGCTCATCCGCAGAAATCTTTCGCGCAGCAGTTTTTAAATATACAATTGTTATTTGGATCTCCAACACAGAATTGCGCCGTAGATCGGGAGTAACCGACGCAATCAAAAGAATATCAACCTTAAAATGGAACTGGGCAGGGCACGTCGCGAGAACGAAGGACGGCAGATGGACAAAACGCATTCTTGAGTGGAGACCCAGACAAGATGCCTTTAGAAATAGAGGACGACCACCAACAAGATGGACGGATGACCTGAAACGGACACATCAAAATTGGATGCAGGCGGCTCAGGACAGAAATTTGTGGGGTGAACTACGGGAGGCCTATGTTCAGCAGTGGACGAGTATGGGCTGAATGATGATGATGATGATGATTTGGATCGCCAACCATCGAAATGTGACGGCGTCATGAGAAGAAGAAGGGAGATATTTTGTTAATTTCTTCCGTTATCCTAACTTTTAAATCAGCAATACTGTTTGGTGTGTTAAAATTTACTTTATATTCTAAATAACCCCAAAAAAAGTAATCGAGAGGAGTCAAATCGGGGATTTAGCTGGCCATTCGATCGTTCCACGTCTTCCAATCGACCTATTGGGAAAAACCTCGTTTCAATAATTTCTAACTATACGTATAAAATGAGGTGGAGCTCCGTCTTGTTGTTAGTAAATAGATCGATGTATCTCATTTGAATGATTAACATCAAGAACAAATTTTTGTAATGTAGGCACTAAAAAGTTAATCAAAACAATCTAGATAAACCTCACCATCAACTGCGCCCTCAAAAAAATAAGGACCAATAATTTTATTGTTAATAATACCAGCCCAAACTTTAACTGTTTTAGGATATTGTGTGTGACTCTCACAAACGCAGTGAGAATTTTCTATGCTTCAATATCTACCGTTCTGTTTGTTAACTCTTCCATTTAAATGAAACGTCGCTTCATAAAAAAAACTCTTTTGTTCATGAACTGTAAATCTGCGTTCATTCTGTCCATCATCATTTCCCAGAATTCTTACCTTCTACCAGGATCATCCTCATTTAACTCCTGAACCAACTGAACTTTGTAAGGGTGGTATTTTTCTTTATGCAAAACTCTCAAAATAGATGATTTATTTACATCATTGACGGCGACATGTTCCTGAGTTGTCTTATGCAGATTTTCCTCAATCTCTAGAAGTACATCTAACTTTTTTTCATCAGTAAATTTAACATTTCTGCCTGGTTTTTAAAATTTTTTTACATGTCCAGTGTAACGAAACTCCTTTTCAATTTTGCTAACAACTGTAGACTGTGAAACTTGTTAACCAGGGTATTTATTATTAAACATTACACAAACTTCCTTTTGAGTTCTTGTTGTATTACCACATATAACCAATCATAATTAAAATGTATATTCTTTGAGTCTCGGACAAATGAGCCGTAATTAAATTTAATAGGCGCACAAATATTGTACTGACGTCTTTTAGTAACTTTAAATACCTAAATGACAGCAGCCTACTAGATTCATATCAATTGTTTATTTGGCTTTTTGCTTAACACTTTATTATTTTCAAAGTTTTTCCCCTAATGTTTAGCAGAACAAAAACGAAAATACCTGATTATTTCTAAAGTATATTTTATTAGACCAGGCAATATTTCTGATTTAAAAAATAGGATAACGGAAGAAATTAATAAAATAACCCCCGAGACCATACAAAATGTACGAGAATTCCAAAATTGCCTCAGTTATTGTCAAGAAGTGAATAATGGTGGTTAAGTTGAACATTTAATTTAATTGTACAAATCAATTTTTTCAGTTATGATTGCACAAACTCAAAAAACTTTATATTGTTGAATAGGGCATCCCTTTCCAAGAAGGTGCCACACAACCTCGTTTGTTATTTAAACTTTTCGAGGAGGTGCTTATAATTCAAAGAGGGTGCTAGAGGCGGATGATATTTTCATACATAAAAATCGACCTGTTTCAGGTTTTTTTCACATGGTACATAATAACGCTTAAAATGAATTTATTCCATACATATGGACCACACATTATGCTTTTAAAACAAAAATTTATGTGTATCCCACCTTTGCATAAAGAGTTTCCAAAGATAAGACATTCCACAAAAAATTACCTGTTTATAAAAATTGTTATGTATATAGTTACAGTGCATTCGGTTATGTATGTATTTCGGTTGCATAATCAGTAGGAACTATTTAAAAATAATCTAAAAATTTATATTTTTAAAAAAATATGTCTTAGTATTTTAAAATTTTTCCTAATATCTATAACTGCTTATTGTGATTAATTATTTTATTTTAATTTTAATTCATGTTAAATACTGTTCTTTCACGTGAAAACTTTTTTTTAATATAGCATAATTTGTTGTCATACATCTTGATGCAACAAAGATCTTAGTTTTAAATGAGCATTAGAAAAATGAACAACGATGAATTCACCTTTTTTTCCGTGTCATATGTTTTACAAAATCGCTAAATAAAATGGATACTTTAATAAATACCTAACACTAATCAAACTTTTCAGAACTGTTGCCGTTTACAAATATATCATTATCGCCTTCGAAAGATATAAGGCTTTTCCAGCAGAATTCTCAATGGTATCTAGTGTCTTTGGAGACCACCAATTTAATATCAGATCTTATGAGAATTATGAGATATCAGGTAATAGATTTATTTATTTTTTATCACCATTTTTTTATCATTTTTTGAGAATAGTTACGAATAGTACTTTTTGCTTATATTAAAATAATTTTAAAGATCTTTTAAGTCAGTGTTTGATCAGTTTTTATACTTTTTAAGATGGTTTTGTCGGTTGAGCATGTCGCCGATTGTAAAATACGAGCTGAAAATGCTTTTCTGAGTGATAAAAACAGCTGAGATTCTAGAAATACCATTATATTAGGTGCAATGGTGTTCGAGAGGAGAAACAAACTTTACTTAACGTAAGCCTCATAGATTCGGGATCTAGCACACAGTGACAAGCACTCCTCTTATATTTGAAGAAATATTAGGACCAGGACTACATGAAAATCATATTGGCAATCATAACCTTGCTCGCTGCGGCTCGAAACAG